AGACCATGCCCGGAGGAGCTCTATCCGATTTTTAAAAAAAGAAATCTCCCTTGCTCATTTCCTCAGAAGCTGTAGATCACCTAAGGCAATTGACGACACCCTGACTAAGTGAAAGTAAGGGATCTGCCCTGTGTCAACTGTCAGTAGCATCTACAGTAAATATACTAAACTGATGAAAAGCAGTGAACTACTTCATTTACCTGTACATAAATCCACAAACTCTTCAAACTTGGAAAACTGCTTCATGGTTTTCAAATAGACATTTTCTACTGCTTACTAAAATGTACCTAATTTATTCATTTAACAAATATTTACTGAATGCCTGTTCTGTCCCAGGCACTGTTCCAGGTGCTAGCAATGAAGAGACAAAAACTCCCTGCCCTCATGGAGCTCCTATACCCAGGGAAGGAGATAGGCACAGAAATAACTGTCATGTTAAATAAAAGTACAAGCAAAGAGGAGAGTGAACAAAGGGCAGGAGTATGTTATTATTTTACGTAGATCAAAAAGGGGTCATCGAGACGGTGACATTTGAGGAAAAGCCTGAGGGGGATAAAAGATCCAGTCCTACAACTACTACCTGGGAATGAGTACTTCTGGCAGAAGGCACAGTCAATGCCAAGCAACAAGATCCCGAGGCAGAGTATGCCTGGTATATGTTCAAGAAAGAAAGGCTAACGTGGCTGCAGCAAGAATGAGTACGGGAGAGGAAAGAAGTAGAACCTAGATCACTTGCAGCCTGTAGGCAGTATGAAGTCGGAGTGTTTTTGAACAGAAGACATGATTTGATTTAGATTTTTAGCCCTGGCCAGTAGCTCAGTTAGAGCATCATCCTGATGCACCAAGTTTGAGGGTTCAATTCCCAGGCAGGGCACATCCAAAAACCAACCAATGAAAGCATAAGTAAGTGAAACAAATCAATGTCTGATCTCCCGCCTCTCTCTCTCTCTCTCTCTCTCTAAAAAAAAATAAAAAAATATATGTACTGTATGTTGTACATATATATCAAAAAGGTTTGAAAGTATAAATACCAGATATATAATCAAAATTATTAGACAACTTTGTTTCTTTGTATTTTCTAATAATCTTTCAACAATGCATATGTATTCTATAGCTATTAAATAAGAATTTTAAATCTTAATATAATTTCAGTGATTACATTTTTATAGAACTAGCTGGGAATAAGCCATGACTCTATTATCTCCTTATAAACATTTCAATGCAATTTTTAATGAATTCTGGAATATCTTTGGTAATAAAAAGAAAAAGGAAGCCCTTAATGATCGTTCTCCTGGTATTCAAGAGAGAAATAATTCAGATAAAATATTATGGTAATTTCTGTTCTGAACAAATCCATGTTATTGGATAATTTTGCTCCATATCCAAATAGTGAGCAATGGAATTTTACTATGTATGTGAATTATCACTCACAAAAATCAATAACTTTCTTTTATCTAAAAATAGGAAAAAATGTAAAAACAAGCAAGATGGTTTTTCAGACTTAATTAAGGGAAGTAACAACTGTAAATTTATTTCATCTACCAAAATACTAAAGAAAATATAAAATTCTTCGCCCTAGTGGGTACTCAGTTGGTCAGTGTCATCCAAATTTGCAAGGTTGTAGATTTGATCCCCAGACAGGGCATAGGATCAGCCAAGGAATGCCTAAGTAAGTGGAACAACAAATGGATGTTTGAATTAATGTTTCTCTCTAAAAAACAATAAATTAAAAAACGAAATTCTTCTATTTGTAAAGTTGTAGATACCAATAAAAAAATGTGTGATTTTTTAAATTTCTGGACAGTTCCTGGATCAGGCATAGATGTTTACATTAATAAATGAAGAAACATTGGTCTTACATGTATCTCAAAAAAAAAAAAAAAGATATTTAACGATTACTAAGTTCTTTTTTATAATCAGGTAAATATCAAAAAATTGTAGTCATAACTTTCTATCATCGCATTTTAGAAAAAAATTTTCTACAGATTGAATAAAACAAAAATCTAAAATTTTACTACAGATAATTTTTAAGTTTCCATTTACCACATTAGTAACATGGACAACTACTACTTACAATCCTGCTCTGCTTTTCCTGTCGATGTTGTGTGTTCATACAGACAATATCTGTCAAATACTGATAATATAGCTGAAGGATATTTTTATAACACAGAAACAATTTAAAGAGTACAATGGTTTTCAGAAAGACTGAACAATCGTTTCCCTCCTTTGTCAATTTCACACAATATAATCCACATTTAGAACATTCTTATTTTTTTAAAGTTTGGATACCCCTTAACATAAAACCAGCTACTTAACACATTGTGCACCTGTAGTTTTATTGCTAGCTTTACCCAGTGGCCAGATAAATTTCTACTGAACGAGTACAAAAAACATTTTATAAAATATCATCCTTTAAAAAGATATTGGCTTGTAAGAACATGTAATAACTTTAAAATGCAACGGGTCTTTAATTTTAAGGTGTGCCTTTAACATTTATGTAAAACACTGTGTAATATGAAAACACGAGAATGCTCGTGATCCGCCCGCAATGTGTTGGGAACACTGAGCAGAAAAACCTTACCTTTTGTTACATATGATCAACAGATCTGCCCTTTTTCTGCTTTACAAGCAAAAATTACATTTCCACAAAATGAAATCAGTGTCGGTTACTTAACTTAAACTGGTGGTTAGGGCCTGATGCTATAATAAGGCTAAATCAACCACTCGGTCACTGATCCTACCAATTAACTTTCATCCACTGCAGGGTCAGAGGCAGCATCAAAACCCCTGCCGGTCAATTCTTTGGATTGCAAGGAGAGCCGGCCAAATGTGCGGCCAGGTCAGCACAAATCACCATCATCATGTCCTAGTCATCAACTTTACCACAAACAGTTCATGTGAGAGCTGTCACCTGGAAGGGACACCAATAATACACCCACTGCACCCTACGACAGATAACAATCTAAGGTAAAAACGTCAAATCTTTTTTAGATGCTAAATTGAACAAATATTTTAAAATCCAAATCCATTTCTATTAATCAATATTTAGACTTTGAATTTCAAAATGCCAACACTAAATTTTGAGTCCCAATGCTGAGACAGGGTGTGTAGGTATAAAAAGACAACCATCACTGACCTCTCTCACCTCTCGGCTTTGTTCATCCAGGTACTTTCCCCTTTATGTAACAACCGCACCTCAGAGGAACTATCCCTTGAGATTACAATAAAAATTACCTTCCAAAGAGACACAAAGCCTGTGTCTTCTCTTTACTCACTGATAATTAAGCACAACACAAGCAGGTGCCCGCCCTCAATTTCTCTCTGACTTTTAACTCTTTCCAGCAGCCTCTCCTGGGGATGTGAATTCCCTGACAGCACAGCTTCTTCCAATCCTCTTCCCACCTGAAGTCCATGGAGAGGATAAGCCGACACCGCATACAGTATTCATCAGCCCACAGAGCAGCTACCTGCACCGTGAAATCCTGCAGACACAGATGTCTATCAACCCGTGACACGGGCCAGGCCACAGAGCACGCCTGACCACATTTAATGGGAAACTGAGCAACTGAACCTCTGAATCCCTCCCACCCACTCGGTATCGGAAAAGCACCCTGCCAACAGGGCCAGCTGTATTCTTTGTATGAATCTCTGACCCAGGAAAGGTGCTTGGGGCAGAGCACTGGCCATACTTTCCACTGCCTCAGATTGAATAAAACAATTGAGCCTGGTTTTCTGCAATAAGAATACTGCCCACAAGATAATACAGAGTTCGGTGCACAGCAGGTAAAATCTCACAAGGCCGTCCTTGATTCACCACCACGTGGTCCTTACAAGATTTATGAACCTATACATTTTAACACCTTCTTCAAAAATTTAAAAAGCCTAGAGAATGCTTCCCAGTATCTGGTGTTAAAAAGGACGCCTGGAGAAATGGAGAGGCGGGCAGGGAAGAAAGACCCTCGTGCAGGAACAATTTAATATACTTCTTCCATTTCCACCTCGATCCCACGTGATTGTAAGTGGAAAGGGGCGGAAAAAAACGGGGGTAAAAACCTGTGGTTCAGGAGCAGCCATCAGGAAAACGATGCGTTTTAACCTGTTCTTTCAAACAATTTTTTAAAGGATTTTTTTTAATCCACAGAATCTCTGCCTTCCCCCAATCGCAGCTGAACCCCCTCTCCCTCGCCAGCCCCCGCCCCCTGCCCCCGTCCCCGGCGCGGCCGATGGGTCCCCCTGCCAAACCGATCACCACGGGGGGATTGAACCAGGAACACCGTTTCCTAACGCGCTCCCAGGGGCGGTCACACGCCTCTCCCACAGGAAAACCAGCCCCTGCGCCGGCGGGAGGGGGCGGGAGGCCATCCTCAGCCTCGCTGCTCCGCGGGGAGGGAGCGGCAGGAACTTCCAGCAAGACCGCCGCTCCTCTGCGTGCACGGGGCGGGGAGCAGCTAGACCACCAGCACACACACACACACACACACACACTCACATGCATACACATGCATGCACACACACATGCACAGTCATACATATACATACACACACACAGTCTCTCCAGGCATTCCCATCCATACGAAACGGAGGCCCTTCACTTGGCAACAGCATCGCTCCTTTTAAAAATTCCTCCAGAACTTGGGGGTGACCCGTCAACCCCCGACACCCCTAACACCCAGGGAAGCAGGACCCTGTCACGGAGCGGAGGCCACAGCCCGCCCTCCGCCGCCCGCACCCACCGCGCCGCCGGGCACCGCGCGGGGGCGGCGAGGGCCGAGCGCGGGAGGCGGGGCCGCCGCACGCCCCGGACTCCTGGCTTTTCAACGCGATTCCAAGCGACCCTTTCCCCCAGCCGGAGGGCCCCCACCCGCCCGGCCCCGGCGTCGCCCTCCCCCACCCCGCCGCGGCTCCGCGGGCCGCCGCCCCGCCCGGCCCGGCCCCGGCCCCGGCCCCGCGCCCCCCGCCCCGGGGCCCCCGCCCGCCCCGCGCCCGCCCCGCGCCCGCACCTGGATGTAGTTGTTCTCGCAGTAGTCGGCCACCCGCTCCAGGTTCGTGTAGCTGTCGAAGAGGGCCCGGCGGCCCCCCGGGATTTCCTCCTCCAGCAGCATCTGCAGCTCCGCCATCTTCACATCCTCCTCCTCCTCCTCCCCGTGCGGACCGCGGAGGCGGCGGCGGCCGCTGGCGGCGGTCGGGGAGCGCACGCCGGGGAGCCGGGGAGCGGGAGCGGCGGCCGGGGCGGCAGCTCGGGAGGAGCGAGGACACCGGCGGAGCCGCGGGGAGGGGGCGGCGGGCCGGGGGCGGGGCGCGAGCCCACGGACTCCGCCGACCGTCACCCGGGCGACTGCCGGCCGGGCGCGCGCACGCGCGCTCCTCCCCGCGCCGCGCCAGGCCTTCCCAGCTCGCCCCGCCCCCACTTCCGGCGTCTCCTAGCGACGGCCGAGCGGGAGCCGGGATGCTGGCGGGAGCGGAGCGCCGTTAACCCTTGGGCGCCCGCTCGGGGGGTGCCCTGGCGGCCTTTGTGGGCCCCGCAGCCGCGGCCTGTGGCCTGGGAGACGTCCGCCCGCAAAGCTCCCGTGGGCTGTAAGGGCCGCCGGACTGCGTTTTCCTCCTCATCGCGGACCTCCTCCGTCCTCCTTGGGATGCATCTCCACATCCCCGTCTCCTAACCCCGGATGTCCCGCACTCCCGCCTTCTTCGCCTCTGTCCGCCCGTCCCCCGGACCTCAGCCTTTTGTGCTGCCCTCGGACCCGCTTCCCCTGGCAGCTCATCCTGGCATTTCTCTGCTTCTCCACGTCCCGTCCTCCATTTGCTGGGGGGCCCTGAGAAGGGCACCAGGTGTTACTCTAGTGGGGTCAGACCAGGCCTGGGGTCAGCAGCCTCAGTATTTGAATCTAAATAGGGGAAATTTTTAGAGCCATAAAAGAACATTTATTAAGTCACAGAGTCGTAGAGGAATAAATTCCTAGAAGAAACGGGCTTAGGAGATAAATGACAGAGGCAAAGGAAGGGCCCTTAGAGCTTATACATGACCAAGGTCAAGGCCACATGTCTGGGGAGATGGGGAATGAGGGGGGAAAGAGGAAGGGAAAGGCAGGACTGCTCCCAGGAGAGAGAGCATGCAACCCCTTCGGAAGGGTTTTAGGGGAGAACCCGGGGAAGATCTTAGCAGAATAGGCAGCAGCTTTCCAGGTGTGGCCTCCCGGGGTCTGAGTCTCCACCGACTGCTTGGTAGGCACCAGGGCTGGGTCATTAGTCAGCGCAGCTGGTCCCGAGGTCAGCCGTGGCTTGTTGCTGCTTATCTGGCTTTGTTTAAAGCTGGAGGGTCACTCTCCAGAGATTCACCAGAGAGCAGCAGTGATGGAATGGGGTAGCAGTGACTTAAATAGCACGTACACTTACTTCAGGGAATAAGACACTTGAGAATAATCAAGCGAATAAAACATATTAAAGCAAGCAAACTTCCCTTTTACTTAATGTGAATTGCGAAGAGTTTGGAATGTACCAGTGTTTCTAATTGTACATTAATACCATTAGAACTTGTATGCTGAACGCTAACTTACCTACAGCATGTATGATTTCCACAGCTGCCACTTTTTTTTTTATAACCATCTGTTTCTTGTCAGTTTCAGTAATACTGCAAAAAGGTTACACTTGGACAAGATTGCTAACTAAACTCCATTGTGCATGGCAATAAGTTTTACTTGTGTAGTAAGTATAAGGTTGATAAGAATAAGGCTATTCTTTGCTGTGTTCATAAAACTGAATGTAAAAGAGGTTAACAGAAGCAAAAAAAAAATCATTATTTTCTTTGTCAAAGGAATTTTATGCAGCCTGTTGGAAAGAAAGGAGCAAAACAGAATAATTTTGATGTTTTAAAATGGCAGGGGACGCTGAATTTAACTACATTTAAAAATACATCAGTAGGATTTCTTCCTTCCTCCTCCACAGGAATTAACAATATATTTCTCACAGACCTCTATTAGCTACTTCTATTATCTAAATGTCTACCCAGATGAATAAGTGAATGACTCATATCACTGAAATATTTCATAGGTTTTTATGATGATATTTCAGGGGAAAATACCATTTTACTTTCCAGCAGAAAAATCTTCAGCAATTAAGATTAAAATACAGGAAAGTAAGAGTTCCCTCTGTGGAAAGGGGTCTACGATGAGATTTTTAGTGTGTTAGATGATCCCAGGGAGGCTGGATCAGTTTTGGGGCTAAGAGATTTAATCCAGAATTTCCCAAATTTCCTAGGACCCACCTATAAGCCCTCTGAATAAGAAAAAAAAAACAAAACTCAGAACAAACTCATGGTTCTATCTAAAATTTCATCTTCGATTTGAAACCAGATTAGTCTCTGATCATGGAGAGACAAGTTGACATTTATCTTGTTGGAATCACTGTTATAGAATTGCCCTATTGCTTGATTTGCATTTTCCAAAATTATATAATTCCAACAGGGCACCATGCAGATACAAATATACCACAGTGCCCAATTCTTGTGATTAAACCATGCATCAGGAAAGATGAAAACCTGAGACAGACATAAAATGTATACACACATTAAGAAGGGTTGTCATAGCAACTTTGCTTGAAAATATGTATTTTTAAATCTAAGCAAATTAAACATTCAAAACACATTTGCATCTTCCTCAAAGATTCTGTATCAAGAACACATATATTTTTAAATTCCCCAATTCCTTCTGAATTGACACCTTCTTGAACATTTAACAAAATTCTATAAATATAATAGCAGCATAGACTGAAGCACATATTTTCAAAAGGATATGAGAAAAATCCAAAGTGAAAGCCTAATAATGTTACTACTTCCAGAAGTCCTAAGCTTCTCCCTCTAAATTTTTAGATTGTGAGCAAGCTATGCCATATAATCTTTACAAGATCCTTTCAAGCTCAAAAAATCAGTTCTCTATTAACTGATGACCTTACCAATGCAAGCAACAAATCGTGAGTTTTGAACACACCAACTGCCATTATATTAACAATTCAGGCCTAGCCGAAACCGGTTTGACTCAGTGGATAGAGCGTTGGCCTGCGGACAAAGGATCCCAGATTCAATTCTGGTCAAGGGCATGTACCTTGACCAGTAGGGGGTGTGTAGGAGGCAACTGATGGATGTTTCTCTCTCATGGATGTTTCTAACTCTCTGTTTCTCTCCCTTCCTCTCTGTAAAAATAAAAAAATAAAAAATAAATCCAACCCTAGCAGGTTTGGCTCAGTGGACAGAGTATCAGCCTGTGGACCAAAAGGTCCCAGGTTCAATTCTGGCCAAGGGCACATGCTTAGGTTGTAGGATCCTCCGGGGCCAGGGCCCTTGTCAGGCATGCAGGAGGCAACCAATCAACATGTTTCTCTCACATCAATATTTCTCTGTCTTCCACTCTCTCTAAAATCAATGAAAAAAATATCCTCAGGAGAGGATTAATAAAAATAAAACGACTCATGCAAATGATTGTAATAAATATTGCTCTTTAACCTAGTCAAACTAATTCTACACTTTATTTGTTCTCCGTCTGAAAGTTCTCCAATATTCCTATTTAGTATCAATGTTAAGTTTTCCTTGATCAGCTGCCTCTTGCACGCCCCCTACCAGGTACATGCCCTTGACAGGAATCAAACCCGGGACCCTTCAGTCCGCAGGTTAACGCTCTATCCACTGAGCCAAACCAGTTTTGGCTAGAAGAAATATTTTAATATCGCTATTTGCCCTTTCTCTATAATAGAAGTGTCAACCAAATTCACGATCAACAATGACAGATGGAAACATACGTGTACAATTGGCGCCAGCAAGAGCTTTATACATATAAACTAGCTTAATTAGACCTGCTTTCTGATTTAGCTAACTTTTCCAGTCCAATGAAGCACCCCAACTTTTCTTTCAGGTAATTGAAAGCAACACACCAGTAAATATAAACACAAAGCAGATTATTATTGTACATCACACAGGGAGAACAAAGGGTGAAATTATGTGTTTGACTATATTCTGCACAATGAGAAAACCTGAGGTTCCACCATTTCTTACTTCTTTTCAGTTGGGTAAAGTTTCTAAGCTTTCTAAATCTCCATTTTTTGGCTGATAAAAATAAAATAGGATTCCACTGAGTCTCCTATCTACCTATTCCAGGACTTCTGTGAGGATCAAATGAGATGAGGCACAGGAAAATGCTTCACAGACATTTGGTTAAACTGTAAAATGTTTGCACCTGGCTATAAAGCAAGTGGTATTCCTGGGCTGAAGAAACTCTAAGAAGGCTAGTGCTAGGTAGAGGAAGCCGGGTGTTGCTAATGATGTCACTACCCAACACTGTTTCCGGGCTGGGCTGGCCTGTGGGCTCCATTTTATGCCATGAGGTCTCAGCAGTGTGGCTTCAATTTGGTGGGATGTGGCTCCAGAGTGGTGGCCTGTGTACCACCTGGGGAAAGCCGAGTGTTGCTTTGTCGGCACCAGGTGCGTGATGTCGTTTCTCTGTAAAGGGCCAGTGTGCATCACGGCAGCTCCTGTGTTTAGCATCTGCCCCTGGTGCTCAGTGCTCATCATAGCAACTGGTCACTGGTTGGATGGTTGGACCCTAGCATATTAGCCTTTAACATATAGATATTCATACCTAATACAGGCATCTCTGAATGGTGTCCACACAACATCTTAAATGCATCCAGTAATGAGACACTTAGCATATTACAAAGGACTATTTGCAGTAGAGGTAGTTTGGTTATCTGACAAACTTTCAACTATTTAGTAACTTCAATAATTTCCCCTGGCCAGGTAGCTCAGTTGGTTAGAGTGCTGTCCTGATATGCCAAGGTTGTGGGTTCAATCCTTGGTCAGGGCACATACACAAATCAACCAAGGAATACATACCAGGTGTACCGGTTAATAATGCGGATTTTTTTCAATAGATGGGAGTTACACATATGTTGATATATATATGCAATTTGTTATGTATATTATTTTGTTGTATTGACAGCAAGTTTCAAAACTTCATATGTCAAATTTGTTAAAGGTGTTAACATCATAGATAGTTTTACGTTTAAAAATATCAAATTTTATACCATAAAAAGAGCATTTGTGGTAAATTTTAACTCATTACTTTACTTTGAAGAAAAGTGCTGCTGAAAGTTACCGTATACTTTGGGAAGCTTATAGTGAACATGCTCCATCTCAAGATACTTGTGAACGCTGGTTTAAACGCTTTAAGAGTGATAATTTCGATGTGAAAAACAAAGTATGTCCAGATCAACCGAAAAGTTTGAAGACCAACCATTACAAGCATTATTGGATAAAGATGTGTGTCAAACTCAAAAACAACTTGAAGAAAGATTAAATGTTGCTC